AAGATGTAATTTTGCATCAGAGGTGGTGGCTGAGCAAATATTATGCCAGTTAAGATCAAACGTATCAGTGCAAAGGGAAATCTGGCAACAAAAACTTTTTTCCCAATCTTTTACAACCCCCTTTGCACAAGGCTACCAAGCTTTACGTTAACAAGATGGCAAACAAATAACATGGAAAGAGGACATGTCAAACACTTGCTCAAACTGGGATTTTGTTTTAAGTACTTGTATTTGTTATTGTTGCACTGGTACTCAAGATAGCCAGGGGCTTATTGAAACCTTTTCAATGAGAATATAGGTTTTGATATCAAACCATTGTGTATGCACCACCTAAATATCATCTGCCTACGTTGATCAGGTAATCACCAGCCAAAATCCAGCTGGTCATCAACTATTTCTCAGCCTGAAAATTTTATGAGAAGCTGGTGTTTAGCAACAACCCTAAGGCATGAAAACTACTGATGAGTAATCTTGTTTCATATTGGTTTGCAGACTTGTTCATTCAGGACAAGGTAGTAACCACATTCAAAATGAAGAAATGACATTCGGAACACGAACTGGAACTAGAAAAGGAGTAGAGGCACACATGTTTAGAGTGGAAACACCAAGAGAATTGGCAAACTGGTCACGGAGCCTGGTTCAAGGATCTCATGATGCTGCAGCCTTGATCAAAGAAATAAACTGTGGTAAGTTACATGCATGTTATGAAAATGAGTGCAACACGGGGAAATTTTAATGTGTATAGAAAGATGTTAGTTGAGTTAAAAATAGGGTGGAGATGAGAAGTTTATGATTTTAAAATAATTAAACTGTGATTTATTTTTCATGTTGGAGAGTTATTCTAAACTCAGAAACAATAAGAATGAGCTCTGCTGTTGTATTAATGGAAGTGGTTTTTCAAAAGGAAGGTATTTTGGCCAATAGCCAAGCCATTTATAAGAGCAAAATGATTTGCTAGGCTGAAAATCACACTAGCAAGGGGACAGGGTTTCCTTAGCAAATACCCACATCTTTCCTGTTATTTAACCTTTTAACTCCCTGATCAGATTTGTCTTTCTCCTTACTGCCAACCATACAATTCTTATGATGTTACCTCAGAAAATTTAATACTGGATCAACTAATTATCCCCAAATTGATATTTTTTTGATATTTTATTGGTATTGTAAGGAGAAATTCTGTCTTGGTCACTCATGGGAGTTGAAGGCTTAAATTAATAAATTTGAAGCCTTCGTGTTTGTGTTATGTCAGATTTCTCTTACAGAGAAGTGGGGGCACACAATTTTAAAGCTATTTTTCTTTTGTGGTGATAAGTTTAATTTTAAGATGATTAAGTTTAATTTTTTCTTTCAGCTGTGACTTGGAGAGATCAAGAGGCACGTTTAACTGTGCACTTTGAAAATGGGTTCACCCTCACACATGCACGTGTTAATGAGGGCAATGATCGGTCTCAGGTCTTATGGTATTTCCCATTTGAGAAGCTAAAGCGCTCAGCAGATGATGGACAGAGAATGTTGTGGCTAGAGTTTGGAGCGGATGAGTCTGATCAGGTATTGTTTTGTTTTTCACAACCTTTACCTATATTGACAACCTTGCTTACCTTCAGGGCCACATCTGTTTTGTAAGGACTGTCTTAATAAGATGAGAATGTATTTCCACTTTTTTTTCTTTATTTTCAGGAGTTAGATTTAGAACTTGATCTGCATGGCTGTCCAAAACCTGTGGTTTTCGTTATGCACACCTTCCTTTCAGCAAAAACAACTCGCCTTGGACTTTTTGCTTGAGTTGTGTGGTATGGAATATAAACTTTACACTTCTCTACTTGATGGTTCAGTTGATCCTGTGGTTCTGGAGTAGTGGCTTTCCATTACAATCCACTACTCTTTTGTAGTAATGTTATTGTTATATGCCACATTGCATTCCCCACTTTTGCAAGATGTATCTGCAGAATATAAGTACCATAGTTAGATCTCATAATTTAGGGATTTGTATCAACCCTTTCACTCCCAGGAGAGACCAAGACTTTATTTCTCCTTACAGTATCAGCACAATATCAAGCAGCCAAGTGATGAGAAAATATAAAAATATCAAGTAGGGGATTATCATATGATCCAACACTAAATTCTCAGAACAAACTTAATGAGAAATGTATGGCAGATAGTGAGGAGAATTTTTATTGACTTATTGGGTGTGAAAGGGTTAAGATAGTAATAACTTTTAAACTATAGCTGTTTATCTTTTAGTTTTATATGGTTTATTTAATAATTGGAAAAACATGCCATTTTCAGCTGTTACCTTTAAGTAAATTTGATTTTGTGTGAAAAAAGATGTTGTCTTCATCGAGCTTCATGAAAGTGGTATGTTTTTTGTACGTCCTTTAGACTAAATCAGTGTTCTGCTGCAGTTCTTGTTGGCTTCAAGAATATTACCTTGAGCTTGATTAATTTTATTGCTATTGTATTCATCAGTCTTTGGGGAAGTATAAATCCTTGCTCAAATTTTTAATTACTGGGTCCACTTTGAGCTAGTGAAACTGCAGTATTTTTTAAAGGCTATAGAAATATTAATAACATTGACTGTTTTTTAGTACTGTTGTATCCAAAGATAATGCGAATTGCTAAACTTAGGCTAACTCACTCTCATTAAGTTCTAAAGTGTAATCTGGAACAAGTACAAAAATGGCTATTTGAGAACATCAATAATTACTCTTGGAATTTTTCTGTATTAAGCTGTGGTACTGTGGGGTGGTGTCTTTTCTGAGAGTGATCAATTGGAGGTATTTCTCCTTAATGATTTCCACAGTTTTCTGAAGGTATAGGAATATATTGAGATGATATTTTTATCGTGTTGCTGTGCTGGTAGCTTCATTAAGTTGTAAGTGATTAATAATGTAGATTGTAGGTTTTAGGGTTTTTTCTTTGAAATTATTGATGATTCAAAATGTATCATTTATCTGAGGAATAGTTTGGTTTCTTTCATTATTGATGAAGATATTTTTAAGAACAGTGGACCCTTTGGATGGAAAGGTGGTTAGTGCATTGTAGGCTTTTTTGCTGCAATTAGTTGATAATAGAGGATTTTTGAATGAAATTATAACAAATGTATCTTAAATTTTCTGTGGGCATGGGGAGATTTGTTGTATCATTTGCCCCTATGAACATATTAACATATTGTCTTGTAGAATGATTACTGGTATTTACCTGTAACTGATTTTTTAAAAGAACACTAAAATAGCAATTGTGAAAATTAATTTTCAGCTGACATACTCTGTACTATCTTGGGATAAAATATAGTATTGAAGTATTTTTCAAGCTTTCTCTTAGATGTGATTTTATGCTTGAGTTAATTAATTGTAAAATGGATATAACAAATAGTTTGCCCTTGTTGGTAACATGATTGGCTTTCTGCCAATAAGATAATGTGTTCCATATTTGTATTTAGATTTGAACTGCCAGTAGTGCTGAGGTACATGTAGTACCCAAGATAATTATTATTATAGTTTTTAATGTCATGGTAACTATTTCATTTCCAAATTCTGTGACGTACTGAAACTAAAGCATTCCTATTTTAGAACAGAGTTCTTTACATATTCCGAACATGCCAATTACTCAAGGACTGCAACATCCTCTGTGATGGTGTCAATGAAAGTGTAATATTTTGTAGTCAGTCATAAACCCTTTACACTCTTACATCAGTATCCATGATCTCCTTACTCTTCTCTACACATTTCCTTCGTTCAAAAGGAGAATTTGTTCAACAATCAAAGGTTATATTGGCAATCATTTGCGTTACTCGTGATCTTAATAGATGATTCAGGGATGATACTGTAAGGAGAAATTAGATGCTGGTCACTTAGGGTTTAAAGTTGTAACTCATTGGCTATTTTGTTTCTAATTATGCACTCTGACTCTTTACATACCTAGTGCCATATTCATTAATTGTCAGAAACACATCAATTAAAGTATTTTTAGACAAAAATTTCCACTGTTCCTTTCATCTACATTAATGCCAAGGGGGTGGGATGGGTTTTTTTATTCAGGGGGGCTTTTGACTTAGGGGGTGAGGGCACAGGAGTTGTATTCTAGTAGTTGTGAGTGTTAGCTTTCCACCAAACTTCCTACCAGATTTGTTCTCAGTTTCATTGTGTTTATTCCACAAGTTTCTCACCATTGGGGTTTGAGCAATGGAAAAAGTTAAACTTCAGAGTCAGCCTGCAGTGCAGGCTTCATATTAGGGCTTGCAATTGTTTACTCCACTGGCCTTGTTTGACTTGATTTTAGTGTTGATGGTGGGGTTTTGGGAAGTGCAAGAATTTCTATCTCCTAACACCTCCTTACTCCTTCCTTAGAACCCTTGCTCACTCTTTAGTAGGAATTTCTCTTTCTCCCCAGCCTTGTAACTGTGATAATCAAATAAAGCACCTATAATTTTCACCAAGAAAATACTGAGTAGTCGCTCTCCAAAATTATGTGGAACTCCTCAAACTTTATCAAATCACAGGCAAGAGGTTATGTTGTTGAACAAGATTTGAAATGGTGCTGTCCATTGTAACACTGTTGCAAATTTAAGGGGAATTTTTGCAGGGTTGATTTGTTCAAGGTGTGAAAACACACCCAGTGCTATAATTCCACAAGTACTCATGGATGACAATTATGGTTTGTGGACTAAATTACATTGAGGTGGACCTGTAAAAGTGAGTCAAAGTTCTCTGCAAGAAATATCCTTGAAAAAGATGTTAAAACAATTTTATTTCACCAAGCAATTTTATAATAGACAAGTAATAAATCTAAATTTAAGAGGAATATTTTAATCTGCTGTTTATTTTTCATAAAAAGCACTTACATAAAAAAAAGCAGCTTCTGAAAATAAATATTAATGTAATTTTAAAACAAAATTAAAGGTATCTTTCGACTATCAAAATTTGTTTTCCCTTTTCATCTGGTAGACTATAAGAAACATTTTGTTAATAATGAATGATGATGAAGTGAAACAAAAAGAAAATTAATCCAATTGATCCACATAAAATTTTGTTTTTTCCATGATCTTCAACTATACTTTTGTCTTTTGTTAACATGCTAATCAAATGTAATAAAATGTGTGGTTATTGTTCATCGTGGTGTAAGATAGGAGATGAACTCTATTCATTCATGTCATGATGGAGTCACCAAGGATGTTGATCACGACATTTCAACTGCAACACTGATAGTCTTCATCAGGCGATGAGGTTGATTGTGTGTCTCACTATTTGTAGCACGTTGGTTTAACAGCAGCAAACTAGTGTGCTACAAATAACAACACATAAACAATCAACCTCACCGCCTGATGAAGACTAGCAGTGTTACAGTCAACACATTGCAATCAACATCCAAAGTGACTCCATCGTGAGACAAATAAGTTTCATCTACTGTACTAATCAAAGCTATCAGTACATTGGACAGTATTATCTCATATTGTATTGAGATGTAATGAGAAATAATTGATAAGAATTGGTACTGACTCTATGGGCCTTTGTTCAAAGGTGATTTCTTGTCTTTGAATAATCAGACATTTTTAATGCATCTTGATTGGACAATACTTGGGGTGCAGACATCACTTAATTTGAAATTGTTGATAAATACGTTCTAAGATAATTTATTAAATTTAATGCACTTAACATAATTCCATGGGCAAATTGTAATTTGTTTAGAAATACAAGTGCATTTTCATACTGTTTGTGTGGAAGCTAACTCAAGCTGCTGTTAAGTGATACACTTAACCTCATTTTTCTATATTTGTACACTAAATTTATCTCATAGATTTATGTTGGATTCTGTCATGCCAAGGCAAATACCATCCTCATTTATCAGCTTTGCAGTTGCAAAGTAGTTACCCTGAAAGAAACAAGAAACTTTATTAGCAAGTTGAATCACAAAGATTTTAGAACTTACAGCTCTTGAGAGGGGGAAAGATATTATGATTATTTTCCATCCTGAGGCAAGTACAAAGAGTTAGTTTTTTTTTGTGCTCCTCCACTTGCACTTGACTTGCACTTGCCTTCATGGCCTGAAAAATGCAAAGTAACTGATGCCAGCACTACAAGCCACTTGATGCCAGCTAGGCAGGCTAGCTCTTCTTTTCTCTATTTCTTGTTAGTAAGTTCTGAAAATTTGGTGTTACACCCAAACCACATCCCTTATATGATAAAAGTCTCAATTTTGATAGCCTGTCTATTTAAAAGTGAGTTCAAACATTATCAATAGAAAAATTTCTGGAAACTTATTGTGTAACTACTGTTCTGGTGCCACCCAACTCTCATTTTTTTTCTACTCTTGTGCCCTTTATTAGTTCGCTCTGTTTTACTACTACCTGTAACAGACTACCACTGTTACTGACTTATTTACACAGAACTGACAAATATGATTACTTGAGAGGAGTGATGAACCTAATCTAAACTCCTTGTAATCTTTGCATTCTTTTGTCATTTGATTCCACTGGAATCATTGTTCTTTCCTATAATTTTATTGATAAAACTTGTTAAATGACTTTGTCAAGAGTAGTGGCCTTGTAAAATGCAAAATAGGAGAATTTTATATACCTTTGGAATGCGTCTTGGTAGTTTAAATGGTTCATAAATACTCAATTCCTGACCTGAAATAACAAATAAAAACAAAGATCAGGAACGAGAAAGGCTGGAACAGTTATTATCCTTCAAGATTTGACCACTGGCTAATCTATGTGTTCTCAATCTCCCCTCCAATACCCTCCCTTCTGAAATCGGAGGTTTCAGGAAAGACTTGTCATCTTTAAAGATTTATTTCCTCTGATTGATTTAAACTCTTCCACTTTAAGCTGTTGTAGAAAATACATTAGTAGAGGCTGTAATGAGCTTAAGTGATTCACTAAGCATGAACTGGAATGAGATCTGAGTTCATTGAGATTCACCCACAAAGCATAACTGCTGGTGAGAATAAAGCACTCACTCACCTTCATGCATTGGACAACCAAATGTTGCAGCTTCTATTTTGCAGACATTGTGTTTGACATCATACAGAGTTCTGCCTTCAAATTGAGCCACTACATGCACTACACCACCTTTTAAGCTGACTTCTGTGGGAACAATAAGAAAAACTATAGTTGGATTTGACTACATCAAGCTGCATTGGCTATACAACCACAAACACAAGAACAAAAATAACAAGCTCTCATAACTAATTTACAAGGAAATGTGTAACAGGCTGGAGGGGATAATTAACAATAAGATCTTGGGAGTTAAAGGGCTAAGAATAATTTAACCTAAGGATGATATACAAGTGAGAAAATGATCCTCACAGGTCAATTGCAATGAAAGAAATTGTACACATAGATTTTTTTGGTTGTATATCATCTGCAGGTCAAAATAAGATTGATTTCAAGTACCTGTCAGCACACTCCTTTGTAGGAACAAAGAACTTTGTAAAATTTGTCTTGCACCTAACATGTGGCTTTAATGACCCCCTAATCGAGGAGGAATTTGTTCAAATCCTGTAACAAGCTTGAATTTTTTTCCTTTCCTCAGGCTTTTTTTACTTCATTTTTTAAATTGCAATTCACCTTTGAGAATCATTTTGTTACCAGAATTTAAGGCCCTTCAGTCCCATAGAGACAAGGGGGTAGGTTTATCAATAATAATGATAATCATAATAATAATATTAATAACAGTAAAATAGTGAAAATGATCACAATATAAAGATAGATAGTAGCTATTGTTATAATAGCAGTAAAAATACCCATAACACTCTGTACATGAGATCTTTTAAAGCTAGATTCATACAAGTTTTCAACTCATTTCACCCCAGATAAACAAGTATTAGTAAAAGACTTCACTTTACTTGCTGTAAAATTCGCAACTGCTGTTCCTATTACTCTCCTCTCCGTTGGGTCATAATGAATGATAATCTTTCCGATCTTTTTCCTCACCTCATTGTGATCTGCAAATCAAAACAACACAGCCGACGTGGCATTTGGTTTGAATACAATTGCACTACATATCAATTACAGCAGAGTCTTTCTCCAATTCAGTATGTACGTTTAAGAGAAGAAGTGTCGCAATTTTCAGACGGCAAGGGTTGAATGACTTAAATATATGTCTCTCTTTTCTTTTTACTCCCAGTTCTATTAATTTCTGCTTTTCTGTGGCTAACATAAAGATGTTCTTTTGCATATCTTCCAAAGCCAGTAAATCCTTCTCTGCATTGAGAACCCAGAGAACTGCTGCCCAGGTTACTACCAACCAAGTCCACCAATGCCCTGTCTCTCCCCTCCCCCATAAATAGTATTCGACTGGGCGTTATACTGTAATTTCCGGTTTCTGCCGTTTTGCGTGACAACGAGATAGTGTAATCTCGAACCCTAACATTGACCTTTGTGCTAAAAAATTCGATTTTCAGGTTTATTTATAATGACCTTATAAACCCACTTTCGTGGTTATTAACTTTTTGAAAGAGAAACCCACGTCATAATCTTTCCTTCCGCTTTCAATAAAAAAGACAGAAGATAAGAATAGTTACGATTCTTAGGAGGAGCAACTCATAATAACTTCAACAGAGGCCGCTTCTTGACATTTGGTTCGCGGTAAGAGATTGCGTGGGTATGGGGCACACTAGAGGTAAATTCTTACACGTCAACACATTTTCCTGTTTTCAGGAGACGATGAAAAAATAATCAGAAAGATAGGGGTTCTTATGCTTTGTTTCCTAACTGTATCCTGCTGTAAATTAAAACCTTATCAACAGATATCTCCTATAGTGTTAAATAAGAGAGCAAGATTTCATCCCTCCCTCCATACTTATGGCTTTTATATCAATGCTCCTACAGTTTACGCCCGCAAATTTATTTAACCAACTTTTGTGCGTGAGAACTTCGATTTTCAATAGGAGCGATCCAAAGTGTCTCATCTATCTTCTCCAAACAACATTTATTGACTGAAAAACTGATTTTGACCAGAAAATTCTGTCTAAAAAAAAACTCACCACAGCTATCGTAGATGTCTCCAATGGCTCGCAGTCCGTTTGCGATAACCCATTTATCCCATACGCTACTGTCATTAACACCATCGTCTTTCTCTTGCGTAAATTTCAGGTCAGATAAATCCACCATAAGCGAAGACCAGACTAGAAAACATCCCAGAAGTAAGAGCAGAAGAATCAGAAGAGAAAGCCGCTTTTTGTAACCAATACTCCAGAACCTCACACGAATAGAATTCCATTCTCGGCAAACGATCTCTGAGAACATCACGACCCGTTTGAATTTGCCGTCTAAAAGTCCAGATCGTTTGCTTTCTTTGGTAAATTTTAGGATGCTGTAGCTGTCATGTAAATCGGAAAGTGCCCTTGCGATCGGCTTAAGGAGAAACTTGTGCGCGATAACTTGAGTGTATCAAATTGAACAGGAAATGACATATAGTAGCTGAGCACGTTAATCATTGCCAGATTTTACGAGAAAAATCGTTGTATATGTGAACTCTTTTCGTCGCTTTCTTTCTTTTTCCACATTATTTCCAAGAACTTTTCCTAAAAATGTAGCATACTATCCTATGGTGAAGTCTTTGTAAAAATGGGATTGAATTTTTATCGTTTCATACAAAAAAAAATTCACTGTAAGCAGTCCTCAAGGAGATAATTTGCCATATGCACAAGACGACACTCGACAGTTAGTCACGCAATATTCTTTAGTTATTAGCAGGCAAGAGGAAACAGAGGGATACGCCAATTCGGAAACCGAGAGAGTGATCCTAGAGAGTTTCCCTAATACAGGGAGACTCTGGCAGAGGAGGTCAAATAGTGTTTAAGAAAGAGAATGCACGTTAAATAATGCTAGTGCATATTTTTTTAGTCCAAATGTATCGCATTCTCCAAAGATAAAAACACTCGCTCGCTATGCCAGGTTTCCCCAGTTAACTCCACTATGCCGGGAAGGAAATTTCCACTGGAGCCCCGGTCAATCTTGGCATGGGAAAACGAAAGGAATTAGAATTAATTCAGGCAATTTACCGTACACACTATATACCTTTTCTCCGCCATTCTTGAGGATACTGTCCTAAGGTCTGTAACAACGGAAGACGGACGGAGGAGCCTGTCTGAAACAAACTGAAAATGAAAATTGAGAATCCACTGACAAACAAATTTGAGACTTCAGAGGCCAGAAACAATTACTGTACAAGAGAGCACCATTGCGACGGGCATAATTTCCCAATTAAAAACGAGCTGCAAATTGCTCGTTGCCTAAGTACAAATACAATTTACCCAAACAGAACGACCAAAGTACAAATTGAGGTCCAGTGGCGTGATTTGACGTCAATTTAGTCGACCCATAAATTTGAGTCGGGGAGCTTGAAGGTCCCTGACCAATCACCGCGCGAGCTGTAATAAATTACAAGTTTAGCTGCTCTCGATTTGTGGATCTATTACTCTGTTTCTATCGTTGTGAAGCTTCGCCTCTGGGCGATTTGGAAACCCGGTATTTCTGGTCGAATCATGTATTCAGTAACTGGTATTCTTTTGGATTTGAAAGGACGAATGAGCTGTTATGGTTTCCCTGAAAACCGTTAAGTTCAATGTCTATTTCCATTTTCAAACTAAAACGGCTCTCAAGCTAAACATATTGAGAAGGCACATAGCTACATAACTACGTAGCTTGTAAGAGTGAGTAACCGCCCCCCTCCCCCCATCCCACGAAGTGGCGCGGAGACTGGCAAACACACCAGTTTACCATAGCCGAAATGTCGCAGGGGGCAGGAGTCCGGAAAAATGAGGATATTGAATTATTTAGTTGGGGAGGGGGCCAGTAGGCATAGGTCGGTATAGATCGGGTGCTCAGTTGTACAATGCCCTATTTGCTTTTACTTAAGTTGTATTCAGTTCTTTTATACACCTTAGTTCATGGCAAAGCTCTCTTTCTAAACAATCCCGCGTTAGTTCTAAAATCTAAGGGTGCCATCTATATTAGTCCGGTCGATCAGAAAAAACCGGAAGCCAAAGTCTCTGTACAACACCCTGTGGCTATATTCTCTGTGATCGTTTGAAAAAGACAACCATAAACATTGAAAAACAAAGAGAATGAAAACTAAACATAGTTATCTTCGTCTGCAGGGAAAAAAAAACTTGAACTTATGGTAAACAGAAACGGCAACTCCCAGTATGTCACATCCGGACGGATTTTCACTCCAACCCCCGTCAACAGATATTTGACCTTTATATCCGGCAGAGGGCGAGCAACAAAAGGTCATAGATGTAAACTTTCTAGGTCTTCTAGATATGAAAAAACGAAATGGTATGTTTTAACTGTGAAACAAGACATGTTTATGGAACCCACAAGCGAAACATATTCTGCAAATGTTTGGGTATGGTCAGTATACCGTTTCCACGAATTTCATCAGAGAACGGATTCTATAGCATTACTCAGTTTGTGTGCGTGTGCGTGTGTGTGTGTGTGGTCACAGTATTATTGCCTAATGTTTTCTTTTCTTTTCAGACCGGAAGAATCCCCAACCGCGAAACCCATGCCGACAAGAATGTTCGATAGGAAAATATTTGCATTTTGTTTTTTCCCCTGCAGGTGCTATGAACTTTAGAACTTTGATCACGCGGACAACTCGCGCAGTAAATCTCTTCACATGTTCGTCACCTGATAAATTAGAGGGATTAACCAATCACAGTAAACAGCAATGCGGTAAAACGATGAATGTATGAATGTTCTTCGCCGTGTGAGGATTTCCGAGAGGAAATGTCTCACTCGCGCGCAACAAAGATAGATCGTGCATCTCTTTGCACGCAAGTAGCTAACTAAAAAAATAAAAAAAGTTGAAAAACCTACGTGTAACAGTAACAGCAATTGCTAACAAATCTGCGGCCCTCTTGAAAAAAAAAAACAGCTACAAGACAATTCTAACAATCTTAAAAATAGTCTAACAATAGAACTTTTTCATGGAAGTCACCTAATCATGACCTAATGACAAGTACGTACGCTTTCATCCGGCTAGAGGTCTGGAAAGGAGTGTAGCACTGATGAGTTTAGATTAATCCCATACTCCCGAAAAACCTCTCCTCTGCTCGTCTCAAATCTTCCCGCAGCTTCCTGTCACGTCAATAATGAGGGTCACCTCGTTACCCATTAATAAAGATTTAATATTTTAAATAAGATTAAAAGTTAAAAAATGTCCTTTAAAACGAAGACAATGCAGATAATTTTATGATTAAAAATATCAATTTACTTGTCATTTGTTGTCTTCTGAGAGCTTAGCACTGTTTTCCATGAAGTAACCTTAACCCTTTAACTCCCAACATCTGATTGTTAATTCTCCCCTCAGCTGCTTCACATTTCCTTGTAAATTAGTTCTGAGAACTTGATGTTAGATCAAGATCCTTCTAATCTACCTGACAAGTTCAAATATTCTTATTATTTGTTTGCTGAATAATGTATGGATATCATAGGGAGAAGTTTCATGTCAATCACCTCTGGGAGTTAGAGGGTTAAAGAACTTTACTGACCTCTTTTTTCACAGAGATTAGAATACGTAGACCCAATCATTTACAGATCAACTACATTTCTTTTTTAAACAATTAATAATAACTTATAAATATTTCACATCAATTTATTAGCTAATACAAATCGTTCCATTTCCTTAACTGGAGTGTCGTAGTTCATAATTTCTTTTCCAGGATCAATTCCATATTTCAGAAAACCTTCATGTGTAACAGATGCCCACACCATCTTTCTTGTATTGAATTCCAGCCCAATATTTCCAAACTTGTCCAAGCAAATGACACCCCCATGACCTCCAGTCAGCTCAGCCATCCTATTAATCACTTTTCTACAAGCATCATGTGGTGTCATTCCATTTTCTACATTGTAGACAACATCTCTACATAAGAGCACTTTAAGTAAAGACTCTCCATGACCAGTACATGCAGCACCTGCTTGCTGATTAGCATAAGCACCTGACCCTACCAGGGGTGAGTCTCCTACTCTGCCACACATCTTATTAGAAGTGCCTCCTAGTATAAAAAAAAGGCACATTTCAAAATGAAGGAGAAACACTCCTATCTTAAAGCAAGGTTATGTCAGCAGTTGTGGCAAGTGGCCCATCTGGCTGGAGCTCATCTCTCCAGCATTCTGTTAGATTCTCTTGACAGTTCTTTAGTACCTATTAATACTACTGGGTGAAGAGAGTCAGAGGGTTGCGACCAAGAACAAAACACCATGACCCCACCTAGTATTGCACCTATACATTTTGATTCAAAGTCCAGCATTCTCACCATCAGTCCACAGCAATTTCCACAATCTTAACCCTTTAACCCGTAGGAGTGACAAGGTTCTAATTTCTTCTTACAATATCACCCCTGAATGAAAGGTTTAAGTCACAAGGATAAAGGAAATTATCAGCAACTAACAAAGCACTTGATGGTTTTACAAATTCTCTCTGTTAGAACCTAAGGAATGTATAGAGAACAGTATGGAGAATATGCATAATGATGTTAGGGTACAAAGGGTTAACTCAATTAGGCTTAGTTTGTATCATGACACAAGTGTAGATTGAAAGTCAATATAAAACTGATTCCTCACACCAAACAAAAATTAAAATCAACTATGAAATGATATTTAGTTAATATATAAATTGCTGGTAAACTTGAACAGTCACCCATGTATGGTTCATTACCTGTTGAGACACCAACAGCAATATGTCCATTAGTGTCCATGGCAACAGCACCAACCGTATCATGTACTTCAAGTTGCATGTCTGTGTTCTTCTTGGGGTCATCTTGAACATTTGTCTCCTTGCTATTTGAACTTGCAGATTCTCCGAGATTTTCATGCTTGGACTTTTTATCTTCATATAACTGTTGTGAACAATCACTAATCAATAAGCTAGGGTCTTCCAAAACAGGAAAATCTATTTTTTTCGCAAATTTCAGTGCTCCTTCCCCAGCCAGCATACAATGAGATGTGTTTGTCATTACTTTGCGTGCCAAAGAAATGGGATTTGCAATATTCTTGACACATGCTACTGCTCCTTGAAACCAAACATGGAGTAAACAATTAGTAGATTGCAATAAATATATTTCCCAGAGGGAATAGAGAGTGAGGTTGCTTGGCCCATTTTTAGATACTGTATAACTGCTACATTCGTACAGGTAACTACAATCAACAATAACAGCAACAACAAAAAGTTCTGAAATAGGGTCATACCAACTGTTATTTTCTTATATCCTTACTTTTATCCTCTCCCCCCCCCCACCTGACAATATTACATCTCGTTTTCTATAATAGTCCAACATTTTATGATAGAAGGGGTTTATAATGAAAAATGGAGGTTCATTTTAAATTTTGACTCTTAATGCACCCTTTAGAGTGGAACGTTGTCAGCCATCTACTGTTTTCCTTCTGCTTCAGTTATAATAAAGGCAAAATACCATAATAAACTTACCAGTGTTTAAGGTTTGACCCTCCATGATCATGGCATCAAGTTCAACAGTTCCTTCTTCTGTAAGGTAACATCCTTGTCCTGCATTTAGAACTCCACTGTCCTCCATACTCTGTGTAGCTGCCTCCACGGCATCCAGTGCACTTTTTCCCTAAAAAAAAAGAAAAAAAAAACCTCGCATAGATTTGAGATTTGTTCATTATAAGTGAATGCTGGATATATGATATGTCCACCTACATCTACCTCCTCGTCCCCACCCCTCCTCACCTAAGCGTAGGGCTCTTACCTAATAGGACTGTCAACTCTGTAAGTTTACTGCAACAACATAATCAACACCAATCAATTTAAAAAAACAAACAATACCACAGAATCAGTCGCGCGCATAGCTAATAAATTTTCCGGACGACTTACCTCCAATAGCGTTAGATATCCAATCCTGGCCGCTTCCTTCACGGCAGAGAGACAGGGTGTTCTGCGCGGTATTTGGATTTCCCCAGCACCTCCGTGAACAATGATACACGGCCTGGAAGTTTCATCAGAATGACTCATTGTCACTGGAAATTTTGATATCGAAATAATAGGTTTCACGGATGAAAGCTTCTTTTTCCGCCAAAACCTAGATAGCGTGACTTTAGTTCACCCATGATCCACCTGGCGCTTTGCAGAAAAATTTCAACATGGCGGACGATTCTGTTCAAACAGGTGAACAAGACATTCAGGAATATTTTGATACTGCGGTAAAAATAGCACGACAGGCAGGGCAGGTAATCTAATAATACTTTATTTCCAATTTCTCCGCAATTACACAACGCAAAAATAGTCCATATACGTTTTGATCATCGTACTCGAGCAGGTCCTTGAGGGGAAACTTGTGGAAATTAAGTAAACGTAACGAATAGTAATCAGGCTTGAATTCACGTTCTACATTCATTGGTTGTCCTCTTGGAGATAACTAGAAGTGGGAGTGGTTTGCAAAGTCTATGTCGCCTCATCCTCTTTTAACAATCATGGTGGCCATTGTGTGAGAAAAACAAAATTCGTGAAGGTCATGCATGCACGATGACAGAGGAGACAAGAAATATTACTTTGATTCTTTTAATTCTTTATTCCAGTTAAATCAAACAGTTTATTTTTAATGTTTAATGGTAGCTAGCATCTTATATCAGCCAATTTTTATTCGTCAGCTGTGATTTTCACATCAGTGGATAAAAGACTTGACCCTAACCCCTTACACCCTAACATTAATATTCATATTCTCCACACTGTTTGTTTACATTCCTTATGGCACTGACAAGGAGAATTTGTTTAAAAACCAGGAGATTCTAGAATTGATGATCATATCCTTTATTCTCATAATCCAAGGGTGATACTGTAAGGAGAAATTAGAAGCCAATAACTCTTAGGAGCTATAGGGTTAACCCCATCATCCAGTAGATCAAAATTAGTGAAAGACTTCCATCCTTGACTTAAAATTTCCAATCAAAATAAGAAACCAGCTCAAACCAAGCTAGCATTTGAAAAAAAGAATTCTAATTAATATCACGGTACCCTCCAAATAAACTTGGATTTTGGAAGGGACAACAACAGAGAGTAGTTGAAGAGAAACTTGCATAGAAACTCTTCAAGGCAATTTTGGAAATTTTTGGAATACATTTAGAAATATTTTGGTGTCCTGGTGAAACTTATAAAGTTGTCAACAAAAGAATTGTCTTATGCTTTAAAAAATGTCAAGTCAGCACTTGTTTATTACTTATTAATAGGTTTTTTTTAGCTTATTTGCAAACCTCGTGTGATTAGGTGGTGTTTGAAGCTTTCCACAAGGAAAAGAATATTGACACAAAGTCATGTGGAACAGATTTGGTGACAGAAACAGACAAGTATGTGGAGGAATTGATTATTGGAACCCTAGCAGAAAAATTCCCGTCTCACAGGTGATGCTGTTATTTTTGTGCTTAATGATGTTATATCCATTGGTAATGATATTATATTGAGTAATTTACTGAGTTGAGGTGGGGTGAAAACATAAAAAAAACCCTTAGGTGGGTCATAAACAAGTTTATGATGAGCCAATCAAATCTGAGATTTAAATAAAAATGAAATCAATATAATGTGTTTGATATATATTATTCTCATTATTATTATTAGTATCTGTCATTTTTATACTAGGGGTTTCAATAAAAGCCAGTTCCTGGCAATCTGCTACTGCCTGTAAGACCTCCTACCACCATCTGTTTATAATAGTCTACAAGCAGGCTCACATGCTTAGGCTTGGCTTTATGCCTCCTCTTCCAGTTGCTGATAATACCATCTGCAGCTGCTTATGGAAAAAGTTATAGAAACCCTTATATCATACTCACTACAATTTACCCAGTACACCCCAACATTGGTATTCATATTCTCTACACTGATCTCTCTTCATTCTTGCGGTAATGACAAGGAAAATTTGTTTGACAATCAGGAGTATCTTAAATTAGTGATCATTTCCATTTACATTATTCTTATGACCTTTAAATTGGATTTGAGGGTGATATTGTGAGGAGAAATCAGAAGCTAAAGGTTTAATACCAGGAAACTATACAGACTCAGAGCAATGTTCTTGTGTATGTAAATATGTACAAGTCAAATAAAAAATTGGGTTTTTCTTAGTCTCAAAAATTTGAATTAAACATATGATTTGTGTGTGATTTTCAGTTTTATTGGTGAAGAGTCAGTGAGTGCTGGAAAGAAAAGTATTCTCACAGATAATCCTACGTGGATAATTGATCCAATTGATGGTACAACAAACTTCGTTCACAGGTTAGATAGAGACAGAAAAATCCATCTGAGCTATCTTTTAAAATGAGCTACATCCTTTTATGATACT